ACACTAACATGGTGAGCATCGTCAACCGCGTCAAGGGCATGCGCCTGGCGAGCCGCGGCAGCTTATGTGCGGATGTTGATGGCGCAAAGGCCAAGCACGAGGAGGTCTTGAAGACGATTGCGCACGTCATCCCCGCACTCGAGTACTACTTCAAGTCGTCGAAGAAAGATGGCAAGTCCGCGACCAACCACACGGCCTACATGAAGCGTAAGGCTGCGCCTTCCCTCGAACCATCAGGCCCAATTGTCTTCTAACGCCTTGGAGAGTTCTGTTCTGATTGGGGGTCGTCGGGACCTGACTGGGCAGATTCGGGTTTGCAGTATGGGAAATGGAGTCACGGCTCCACGACGAGATTATTTACCTACGTCTAGATGTTCAGAGTATGGTGCGTATTGGCACGCTTTGTTCGCATCGTAGGTCAGATACGTAGGATTAGAGCAAACGCCACGTTGGCGGCAATACGTTTACAAACATCGGGCGTTAACAGGCAGAGTGCACTGATAGGTCCGAGGGTGTTCGGCATTTCTGAACTCCAAATGTCGATATCGTCAGCGCCCCTGCCAACCCGAACCAACGTCGATCGAACGGGGGGGCTACTCTAGTAAAGTCAGCTTCTGGTGTATGTTCGGGCCACTTGACGCCCTCACTCGGGCGTTTCTGTGTCAACCCGTTTGTTACTAAGCTCGGTTGCAGACCCACTCGATCGAGGCAAGGTTTCGATTGCAAAATCAAGTGGCAGCGGTGTTGGTGACATCCGATTGTGAGCTCTTCGCCGACACATGCGGGACGCATTCGAGGTGAAAGACTTGCTCGCGCTTGGCGGCTGGGGCCAGATGAACGCAAAGAGGGTCGTTGAGGAGCTTCTTCGCAACGGCGAGTTCGCGGATCCCAAGGACGGGAACGGCGGCGACACCAAGGATACAGACGAGAAACACCCAGACAAGAAGAAGGGCCCCGCCGCCAAGTTGCCGAACATGATGGACATGCCCGAGAAATTCAACAGCGAGATTCCTGGAGTCTACAGCGTCGGCTCGACCGTCCACAACTTCGTCGCCAACTACGTGCACGCGTGCGGTGGCTGGCCCGTTTCCACTGTCAACGAGCTGGACAAGCACATGGCCAAGAACAGTAAGCACAAGAGTGCAGTTACTACTTTCTGGAAGCTCGCACGCGACGTGGAGCGCACCACCGATGACTTACCTGAGTTCGACAACTCGCTACAGAGAGAGGAGGGTGCTGAGGCGTGGACCGTCTCAGTTCGGGCCAGGGTCTTCAGGTGGGGGCCGTGTGCGATGCCGTTTTCAGGCATCGGTTCGTTTGTCACGTGCCCAACTAGCCAGATGTTCTTCCAGGTCCACAAGCTGGCTGGGCTGACTGAGCAAGGCATTGCCCTCGCAGACGCCCCCCAGTTCTTCGAGACGGCCAGCGGCGACATGCTCTACACCACCGACTCTCCATCAGCTTGCGTCTTCAGTATGGATATGGGCGATGTGGCGTTCATTCCGCACGGGTACGTCGCCTCGCCGTTGTACTTGCCATTGCAGAAGGGAGATGCCAATGCCAAGGAGTGGGTCCACATGCTGGTGATCCCAATGTTCGTGCAGAAGTGGTTCGCCGACCAGTGCGACCAGTCCATCCGCAACGCCATCGCCAAATGGAATACTGACTACATGACCAGCAGGGGCGAGACCGTCTACAAGAACCGCATGAAGTTTTTCAAGGAGTTCGTGGCAGATGCAGGCGTCACGGATTGAACAGACACACGGGCGCCAACATCAGAGTAGCATTGGCATTACATCGCGGCACGGCGCCATAGGAATTGAGATCATACGTGCCGCAGTTTTTGTTAGACCGTGATGCTAGCCAACTTCAAACATCATTGGAATATGTATTGTGCATTGCTACGTACAAACATTTGCATCACATAGTTGAAACACGGCTGTTTTACAATAGCCTTTGTGTTGGACCAAGTTGGCTAGCATAACTGGACGTCACGCGCGTGCTGCAACTCGGCGGCAGTGCGACAGCAGTGTGCAGGTACGAAGGCACGCGGACTAACACTCGTGTTCCTTCGGTGCGAGCTTGCCTGCTGCACATATTCAACTCGAGTCGGTGGCAGCTTCGATGTGGAGCGACGTGCGCATTCTCTTGCGAAATGCGGCTCCATGACAGCATGATGCAAATACGGATCAATGGACAGATGCATGTTGATACACGGAAGTGGTACGTGTGAGAGGGATGTATAGGCATGGGAAGGGGCGGGGGAGGGAGGCATTGTCAGAGGGAGGGTAGAGAGAGGGTGAGAGCGAGGGATCAGAAGGGAGGGGGATGAGTGACCCCAGGGCGGGTGGGCACGAGAGGGAGGGATATACAGATATCAGGGGGTGGGAGGGGAGAAAGAGAGAGAGAGAGAGAGAGAGAGAGAGGGAGAAGGAGGGAGAGCGAGAGGTATAGACAGAACGAGATGAGAGGGGCATGGGTGGGGAGAAAGGGGGGGGGGAAGCATGGGAGGGACTGGGGGGGAGAAGATATATAGGACAAAAGGGGGCGTGGGAGAGAGGGGGCATGGAAGGATATGGGGGGGGAAGGAGAGGGGGAGGAGGAGGAGGAGGAGAGGAGAGGGGAGGAGAGGCGAGGAGATGAGAGGACATGGGAAGAGAGAAGAGAAAAGAGGAGAGGAGAGGAGAGGAGAGGAGAGGGGAGAGGGGAGGAGGGGGGAGGAGAGGAGAGGAGAGGAGAGGGGAGGAGAGGGGAGGAGAGGAGTGGAGAGGGGAGGAGAGGAAAGGGGAGGGGAGGAGAGGAGGGAGAAACCTACAGCGACATGGGGGGGGCATGGGGGGAGAGGGAGGGGAGGAGAGGGGCATGGGGGAGGAGAGGAGATACACAGAACGAGTAAGGAGGAGGAAGGAGCATGGGGGGGGAGAGGGAGGGGGGCGAGGAGCGAGAGGGGGAGGAGGGCGAACGATGGACGAACGAGTAGGAAAGGGGACAGGAGTAGCGAGAGGAGGAGGAGGGAGACGGAGGAGAAGGATTTGTTGGCTCGACACCCTGGCACATCCCATTAATGGCACTGCGTGCCGACACCTTTCAAAACCTTGCAATGAGGGGTAGCGCGCGGCTGGGATCTCCAGACCGCGTGCCGCAAACAATGCCCAATATACGCGGTCGCTTGCATCGTCTGACTTACCTGGCACATTGCGACCGTTCGGGTTCGCCTTTGGCGAATGACCGAAACTCGCATGCGCACTCACGGTGTTGGCTTGCGCCCCTAGTGCGTTAGGCCGAGGCCACGTGCGAACGGCCCCCCTTGGAACTTAGTACACCTCCAAGGTTGGGGACCATGCTGAAACCACACCACCATTTCGGGTACCAAACTGAATCGCCTTATCCCACCTCACCCAGCAAGTCGCTGTTTCACCAATGTATCCTCACCCGCTTCTAGCTTCGCCTGGAGGAGGAGGGGGAGGAGGGGGAATAATAACAATAATGACAACATAAAGAATAACAATAATAATAAACAAAAAGAGACGAGGAAACGGGGAAGGAGGAGGAGGAGGAGGAGGAGGGATGAGGGAGGAGGGAGGAACTCAGGAGTGGGAAAGGAGGGAGGAGGGAGGAGGGAGGAGGGAGGAGGGAGGAAGTGGGGAAAGGAGGGAAGAGGGAGGAGGGAGGAGGAGGAGGAGGAGGAGGGAGGAGGAGGAGGGAGGAGGGAGGAACTCAGGAGTGGGAAAAGGGGGGGGGGTAACGAAGCCTGCTGTGTGCGGCCGGCTTCGATCCTGCCGCTGGGGGCGCCCCCCGTCGACACACCGGCCGCCGGGAGGCGCGCGCACAGCCATGTTTGCGCGAGGTCCTTCGTTGGCCCCCAAAAGGGCGGCAGGAGGAGGAGGAGGAGGAGGGAGGAGAGGAGGTAGGAGAGGAGGAGTAGTGCGCGCGCACAGCCCATGTTGCGCGAGGTTTACGTTGGCCCCAAAAAGGGCGGAGGAGGAGGAGGAGGAGAGGGCGAGGAGGAGGCAGAGGAGGCAGGAGGAGGAGGAGGAGTTGGAGGCGCGCGCACAACAATGGCACAGGCAGGTGCCGTTGCCCAAAAAGGGCGGAGGAGGAGGAGGAGGAGGAGAGGAGGCGGAGGAGAGAGAGGAGAGGAGGAGGAGGAGGAGGAGGAGGCGCGCGCACAACCATATTTGCGCGAGGTCTTTCGTTGGCCCCCAAAAGGGCGGAGGAGGAGGAGGAGGAGGAGGAGGAGGAGAGGAGGAGGAGGAGGAGGAGGAGGCGCGCGCACAACCATATTTGCGCGAGGTCTTTCGTTGGCCCCCAAAAGGGCGGAGGAGGAGGAGGAGGAGGAGGAGGAGGAGGAGGAGGAGGAGAAGAGGAGGAGGAGAGGAGGATATGCAGGGAGGAGGAGATGCAGGGAGGAGTGAGGAGGACGAGGTGGAAGAGGAGGGGGGAGAAGGGAGGAGAAGCAGGAGTGAGTCTCCTGGGCCTGCTTGCGCCGGCGTCCGAGAGGCGTGAGGTACCGATCGCGCTGTGCTTGCTTTGCGCACAGGTGCGGTCCAGACGCGCCCGTCGATTCGGCAAGCGGGAGGCATTTCGGGCTAGTCTCGGGCAAGCGGGAGGCATTTCGGGCATTTCGGCAGCCCGTCGTCCGGGCGAGTCTCCGGCGCTATAGTATAGTGGTCGGCGCGGCGCGGGTGGCGACTGCGGCCCGCCCCGGCTACGCGCGCTGACGAGGAAGGCGCGCTGACGAGGAAGAGTGAGGCGGAGGAACCGTTCCCCCCCCTTACTGTGGTGGAGGACGATCCATGGAGAGGAAACTTGTTGCCAAATAATTTCCCTGATGTCCAAGAAATGTGGGAAAACTGTTTCAAACATATAAAAGAAAACAGGTTTCAATCATTTTCACTACATGTTTCTCACATTTTGAACACATGTTTAATAGGATTGTTAGGGTGCCCATTGTCGTGGCATTCGCAACCTTACTGATCCCCCCCCGTCCTGCGCGACAGGTGCGGCTCGCTGGAGCTGACCGGGCGGACCCGGGTTCGGTGGTTCGAAAGTGGGGTCCTCGGGGGTTGGCCCCTCAGGGCGAGGTTCCTCGAACAGGGCAGAGCTGGCCTGTGACCCTTTCCTGTCTTCAGCTCTCCATTCCTCAGAGCGTGAATTACCTACCCCGCTTTCGCTTCCAGGCAACACCGAGCCACACCACGCGCCTCCTCGTCAAGCGGCCTGACCAGTACAGGCTGCAATTTGGCATCGTTTGTCGGAGGGCACCAACTATACACCAACACCGATCCTGGCTCAGGATCACCCTGGGCCCAGGATCGGTGTATATGCCCTCTTGCCCAAGGCAGGAGGGCGTATACACCGATCCTGGGCCCAGGGTGATCCTGGCCAGGATCGGTGTTGGTCTATAGTTGGTGCCTTCCTAGTTTGGTATCTCTTGGAAGCGAGGGTGGTCAGAAGCGAGGCAGGTTTGTTTCCCCCCTTAATTCCCCGAGGCTCCAGTCTTGAACCCCCTGGCAGGTGTCCGTGTGGAGGAGCGACGACCGGGGACAGACCTACAAGGCTCGAGAAGAAAAATCAGGAGGGACAAAAAAAACACCTCCTCCTCCTCCTCCTCCTCCTCCTCCTCCTCCTCCTCCTCCTCCTCCTCCCCCTCAGACACAATTGATCGTCGATTCCCCAGAAAATCTGGAAAAATATGGGAAGTGGGGGGGAAGACGAAGACCCAGAAAAAATATGGGAAAAGATGGGGGATCTTTTTATCTGTGTGTATTTATTTGTGTGTCCTGGGGCCCCTTTCAAAAAAGCAAGCGCACAGGCAGAAGCCTTCGGAGTTCCGCGCGGGTTCTTTCGGATCGGCGCTGGGCCTCTGTGGCGGCACCTCCTTGTAAATTTCACCCGTCTGCATACAGCGCCACGGGAAAGACATATCGCTCGTCGCGATCACGGTGCCTGCGCGGGTGTGCCCCTCAAAAGTGCGAGCCCAATCCCCAGGGCTGGCGCCGCCCCTAGCGCGCTCCGCGCGCCAAGGGGGGAAGGAGGGGGGGGGGGGGGATCCACCGCTGATCCGAGAAATCCGCGCGGACATTCTAATGTGCACGGTCGGGAACTGTTGGATAGCGTGGGTTCCACAAAATCTGGCCCAACAGCGCTGCGGCGCGATGCATTGTCCACTTCCTGGTCCCCAGGCGCCAGCGTCCCGAGCTTTTTCCCGACCCTCCCACCGTATACGCCACCACCACGCCTGGCGGGGGCCATCCTGGACCTTGGGATGGTCTATAGACTTTGTGGCCTCGACCAGGGAAGCATATGCACCTCACCAGGGCCCAGGGATGTGGCTTTGGGAAAGCATAGCAGTGGTGGTGTTTCGGCGGGGAGCGGGCTGGCAGTATTATGTTTGTGCAGTTGCGCTGCTTCTCTGAAGGTCAAGCAGAGGATCGACGACGGGCTCTCCGCGCAGACTGCTCTCCAGTTCCAGGGCGGCCAGCTGACCCTTCTGTACGAGCAGGCGGACCCTCCGCCGGTGACCCCCAAGGAGCGAAGAGGAACAAAATCACAATACTCACTAACTTTCGGAGCTCCGGCTCCAGGCCCGCGCGGAGCGCGTCAGGGGCGGCGCCAGAAACGCCGCCAGGAAACCGCAGTGCCGATCCGAAAAATCTGCGCGTAACTCCGACAGTTCGTGTTTTTGCATGTTGTTTTACTCTTGAACAGGAGGTGATCCTGAACAAAGCTGTGCAGAACCTGCAGGCCGAAGAGGGGGCAAGCCAGGGACCAACATGCTTTCATGGTAGTCTCGTGGCTCGTTTTTTTTGTTTTGCCCAGCGTGCTGCTCCGTATGTTGGAACTCACCGTTGGCCCATCGTGCGTTCGGACGTACTTTTTTTGATTCGCGGCCCGCAAGGAAAAGTCCAGAGGGCGTTGTGAACGAGGCTGGGGCACAGCGCACGGGAAATCGTTCGGACGTACGCCACGATGCTGTTTTGGGGCGATCGCTCGGATCGATCGCTGCACTCCAAGACGAGATCGACACGAAGACGTAACATGCTTCCTTGGCCGGCCCGCTAGAGCAAGCCGCGAATGCAGGGGCTCACGGGAGCCCTTCGCGGCTTTGCACCCCTTCGGCGGCACCTGGACCTCCTGAGACCCAGGCGCTGCACCCCTCTCGCACACGGGAGGTTTCTCGCCCATCACACATCGATTTGCCTCGACAGGTGCAGCAGAAGGAGGAGGTCCAGGGTCTCGGGTTCCAGCCCCGAGGTTTCGCGGCGCTGCACGTTCCCGCGCCGTCGCATTTTTTGGGGCCCCGCGCAAGCACGGGGAGGGGCCGGGGCGCCGAGGCAGGAAGACTGCGCCGCCCCCTGAATGTCTGTTCTTGTGCCGCGTTCCCTCTCCTCTTCCCGTGCCCCCCCTTCCCCTCTGCCCCTCCCCCCTTCCCCTTTCCCGCCCCCCTCCCTTTCGTTTTCGTGCCAGGTTTCCCCCCCCTCCCCCCCGTCCACCTCG